AATTGTTAGATTTATGTGGATTGTTAGCTTTTAGGTTGTAACGATCATTCCATTACCAAAAAGAAATATACCTATCAACTTTTTCTATTGATAAACAGTTTGTTTGGTTTTTGTTTTGGGTGGTGCATACAAGATTAATTAAGAATATTAATAGCACTCTGGATGGATTTCAATTATTCATGGTATTCCTATATGCTCTTAGAAGGAGTGGATAATGACCAGGGATTTCCCAGAGTGGTAGAATTTCCAATTATGAGTTTTTTAGATATGAAATATAGGAAGCTTGATGCAGTCAGTGAATATCATCTCATAAAGCCACACTTCCTTATCCACATTGAAAACACAATCCTTTTACCCTCTGTCCACCACTAAGCACCTCAAAGGTTGGCCCCAGCAAGGAACTTTACTCACTCAAACCATCTCTGGGCAAAGGAAATTCATGGAAACATACCACTACTAAAGAAATTATCTGGGTCATAAACTAAAAAAGAAAAACAAATGCAAGGAAACTACATTTTAATTCCCCATTAAGCCATATGAAATGTGTATTAGGCTAATGTACCTAATACAGGCTAGCAATTCAACCAGAGGAGCTGCTCAGAGGATATTGAAATAAGTCATTTTGGTAATTCTAAAGAGTTTCTATAGATATGCACTGGATTTCTTTTTAATTATTCTGCATCTGTTTAGAGATATGCAATTTCCAGCTATGTAATTGGATTTTAAGTACTTTTACATTACTATAAATAAAGTGTTACATGCAATTACATTGAAAAATCTGCAGTGCAAAAGCAAGCTGCAGCCCACAGGTTACCGCACTTTAGCATACGGAGGATGCGCTTCTTGTGGGGTGATGATAGTCAAATTAAAAAGAACACTTTACTCCTTGAGCTGGATAATAGACTGATTATATTTAAAGCATATTCACTTCCCACAGTCATCTGGTAGGGAAGATGGAACTGCTCAAACTTCATCTCCACTGGACAGTATCGTGACTGGAAGGAATTATTAGTGGAAGAAAAGTATGAACTCACCCAAGATCCAGATCCAGAATGCTAATCAGAGTTTTGAAGAGATAGATTTATTTTTGTCCTGCTTTCAGATCTGTTTTGTTTTCTTCCCCCCAGTATAAAAGCTGTGACTTTCAATCTGTGGGGAAAATTTTGGGAAAAGGATTATGAGATATGTGTCCTTAGTATAAGTCTGAACCCCTTTTGGCATTAGCCCATACCACAGGAGGTCACGTTCAAGCCCTCTTTCTCCAATTTCAGCTGGTAATAATTTCACATTCTTTCTCACAGCTACCAATGCAAGAGGCAGCTAATCCTGAGGCTTTTGTTAGGAAAGGTGCTCGATTGAACAAACACATGGCAGACAGGGGCATTGGAGATCACTTTTACACAGTGATATTTAAAATGAGGGAAGTTTAAGTAAGTTGCTTGAGATGCAGCATACTGCCAGCAAGCTCACTGGTGCCCTCCATCAACTCAATTCCTCCTTTCTTTCCATCCTCCTTTCCTCTGTGTATGCCAAAAGGGCTCTACATTTTAGCACTGGATTTTTTTTTTTTTTGTAATGCACTTCGTGCTATTGCTAAAGCTAATTCCTGTTTCATGGCTCATCCAGCACTATCACCTGCCCTCCTCTTCATATCCTTTCTTGCTTTAAGACTTAACTCCAGCTCCCTCCAGAAAGTTTACTTAACATGCTGTTTACTTAAATACATGGAGCCAGAGTAGACACAATGTATATTCTGTCCAATGACCTTACTTTGGGGTTTTCCTATTTTTTTTAACTGCAAAGTAGAACAAGAATCTTCCTCTTTGCAAAATATTCCCATTAAAGAAATTGTTAGGCTGGGCGTAGTGGTGTGTGCCTATAGTCCCAGCTATAATATTTGGGAGGCTGATGTAGGAGGATTGTTTGAGACCAGGAATTCTGGGCTGTAGCACTCTATGCTGATTGGATGTCCACATTAAGTTTGGTATCAATATGATGAGTGAGGGACCACCAGATTGCCTAAGGAGGGGTGAACTGGTCCAGGTCGAACATGGAACAGGTCAAAATTCCCATGCTCATTAGTAGTGGGATCGCACCTGTGAATATCCACTGCACTACAGCCTGGACAACATAGCCAGACTCTGTCTCTAAAATATAAATAAAAATTGTCAGATTTATGAGGGTTGTTAGCTTTTAGGATGTAACAATTATTCCATTACCAATGATAAGGATACCTGTCAGCTTTTTATATTGTTTTAGATACCTGTTTTAGTTTTCCTATCAGGGTCCATAGCTTTTACTTCTTTTGTAACTCTTTTTGGCTCTGTCTCCTGGACCCTGCTCTGAGAATTTTGACAAACTGTAAGACAAACTCTTTGCAGTTGTTGAAATTTGTATTTCATAGGGGAGAGAAAGCTTAGGCATATTGTCTAGTAAAGGTCCAGTCGGCCTGGTGCTGGTTCTAAATGAATCAATGATAGGTGTTCAGAGAAGGAATGGATCATGGTAGATTGTGCTCCTTCATCAGTCAGCCCGTGTTGATAGGAATCAATATAGCAGAACATTTTAGAGCCCATTTTGCTACAAAAAATAAGATATTAACTTATATTCCCCTAACTTACTACTTTGGGATTAAAATATGAGAAAAACATATTATGAAGATAACATATCATTTAAGTATTCTACAGTTTGATTCTTCACTCATAAAAATAGTAACCAGATATTGCTGAGTGATTTTATAAGTTGAATTTCTTATCCATCATCTTGAATTTCTCCAAAGAATTTGTTTGTTTGTTGTTTGTTTTGAGACAGAGTCTTGCTCCGTTGCCAGGCTGGAATGCAGTGGCACGATCTCGACTCACTGCAACCTCTGCCTCCCGGGTTCAAGCAATTCTGCTGCCTCAGCCTCCCGAGTAGCTGGGACTACAGGTGTGCACCACCTCATCTGGCTAATTTTTTTGTATTTTACTAGAGACGGGGTTTCACAATGTTGGCCAGGATGGTCTCCATCTCCTGACCTCGTGGTCCACCCTCCTCGGCCTCCCAAAGTGCTGGGATTACAGGCATGAACCACCATGCCCAGCCAAGAATTTGGATTTTATGAGTAACAAGTTTTGGAACAATTTGCAATGGGTATAGATTACACAAGTAATACTTTGTGTAATCTTAAATATCCTTTTCATAAGCATTTATGATTGTCATTTTCTGTCTTTCCCAGAAAGCATGAATCATTATTAATTCTTCTTACAGAAGACACAGAATGGGACATGTTGTAAACTGGGAATTCTTACGGGCTGCTTCTTTCTTAAGAAATAACTGCTAGAACAGTGAAGCAATAAGAAAATATCCACTGTCATCATCAGAAAGTGTATCTTGTGAGCCAGTGAATGTGGCACTTAGAAAACCAAATGGCTATATTTAGACATGTATATGCAGTTATATGTCTGCATTATAACTTATTATATTTTCCTTCAAATTAAGCAATACTACTTAGTCATAAAAAGGAACAAAATAATAGCATTCACAGAAATCTGGATGGAATTGGTGAACATTATTCTAAGTGAGATAACTGAGGAATGAAAAACCAAACATTGTATGTTCTCACTCATATGTGAGGGCTAAGCTATGAGGACGCAAAGGCATAAGAATGATACATTGAACTTTGGGGACTTGGGGGAAAGTTTGGGGCATGGCGAGGAATAAAAGACTACACATCGGGTCCAGTGTACACTGCTTGGGTGATGGGTGCACCAAAATCTCAAAGATCACCACCAAATAACTTATCCATGTAAACAAACACCACCTGCTCCCCAAAAATCTATTGAAATAAAAAATAAAAAACTTACTAAGAAAAGGAAACTGTTACTGAATTTTATTTGTATGTCAGAAACTTTTAAAATGGATAAATCTCATTTAATTTAACATTAACCCAAGACAATTTAAAGCCTATTTCTTATGTTTGAAAAAAATGATGACTATATGTGCAAAATATTCTAAGTCCTGCAGAATGCCAGACTGATAAAATCTAAATTATTATTATGCTTTATTTAAAAAAATATTTAAACTTCAAACTAAACTTTTTCATCCTTAAAAATATCTACAGTAGCAAATCTGGGGCCCTACAAACATTTCTCCCAGCAAAACTGATTCTACTCTGTCTTCACAAACTTCCTTTACAGAAATCAGGAGCAAGAACAATAATCAAGTCTTGTGTATAATTGTATAATTTTCATTATGTCCAATTTTATATTTTGGATACAAGTGTTTTTTTAAGTCAGATCTATTTCTTACAAATATTTTCTCCCAGTCTATCGTTTGTCTTATTCTCTTAACAATGTCTTTCATAGAGCAGCAGTCTTTGATTTAGTAAAGTCAAACTTACCAATTTTTTAAAAAAATGGATGTTGCTTCTGATATTTTATCTAAAAAGTAATTGCCAACCCCACGGTCATTTAAATTTTCTCCTGTGTTTTCTTCCAGAAGTTTTCTAGTTTTGCATTTTACATTTAGGCATATGACCCATTTTGAGTTAATTATTTTTGCGTATGGTATAAGGTCTGAGTCTGGGTTTATTTTTCTGCATGTGGATGCCCAATTGTTCCAGTCCCATCTGTTGAAAAGATAAAGACTATCGTTTCTTCACTGAATTGCCTTTGCACCTCTGTCAAAGATCAGTTGACTGTCTTACTGTATTGTGTGAGTCTATTTCTGGGCTCTCTATTCTGACCCATTGATCTATATATCTATTCTTTTGTCCTTATGCCTGATTTTGATAGATGAAGAAATAATCTCAGGGAAGTTGAGTGATCATCTCAACATTACACACCACTAAGTTGCAGACAGGAATTTGAACTTAGGGTTTTTGAAGTCATATGCAGTAACCAGTTCACTAAACTATAGCTACTTCTCTTTCAATGCAGAACCAAAATACGTGACTATTAATTGTAATACCATAACCAGTCTGTTTCCCTTGCATTCTTCTCTTTGCATATGCCCTACAGCACATTGGTCACATGGAGGCAGAGTTGGCAGAGAGTGGCTACTGATCAGGTAGGCAATGCATTATGCAAAGTAAGTCCCATTTACCTGTGTAATCTGAACCTTGGTATTGTAAAATTTGAGGTTCATTGCTTTAATGAAATACACACAGGTGCAAATTAAAACCCAAGACTCTTCACAGTCTAAGATGGAAGATTTCTGGTAACACTGTACTTGCTGGATGATGACATGAGCTGCTTATGATGCAGCTACAAAGGGTTGGATTATTGTTCCTGCTTTCTGTTAAGGAGGTCTGGGGAAACAGTGGAATCAGTTTTGCTGGAAGAAATGTTTTCAGGGCCCTCAATTTGCTACTGTAGAAATTTTTACAAAAGAAAAGGCTTAGTTTGAAGTTTAAAGTTTTGTTTTTAAAGGAAGCATAACTTAGATTTATATGAGGCTGGTATTCTATAGGACTTAGAATATTTCGCACATACAGTCCTCATATTTTCAAACTTGAGAAAGGCTTTAAGTTAAAGGTCAGTGTTTCCTAGCTTTAGGGATGGAAGGACTTTCTGGTCATTGCCTCTCAGAGAATTATGCAACCAACAATGAAAGGAAACTTAAGGCTCAAGTTACATTCTTGGGAGCTTGGGCAAGACTTTGGGGAAAATTCTGGATAATGAATGAATTAAAAAACATTAGCCTTGTCACGTAGGACAATGAAGAATCCTGCTGTTCCACAAGTTTTATGATGACTCAGTGGAGCTATGGCAGGAGGATAAATGATAATCTGATTAGGATTCTTTCCATTCTCAGATTTTCTAGTGCAGTTTATACTGGAGAGTGCACTCCAGAGAAGTTAGTATCTGAGATATAAACCATGTATCTTAACTATTTTATCACTTTTAAAGCTTAAAGTTTAAAGATAATTTAAGATATATGGATCATAGAATAGGGTATCACTGAGTTACTAAAATGCTGTTAGTAGAAGACATTGTGAGATGTTTGAAATATAAAATCTAGATTATCCTGAACAGACCAATAGTGAGCAATGAAATTAAATCAGTAATAAAAAAATCTCCCAACAAAAGCCCAGGACCAGACAGATTCATAGCCCAATTTTACCAGACATACAAAGAAGACCTGGTACGAATCTTACTGAAACTCTTCCAAAAAATGGAGGAGATATTTCTTCCTAACTCATTCTATGAAACCAGTATCACACTGGATGGAGATGGAGGCCATTATCCTAAGTGAAATACTCAAAAACAGAGACTCAAATACCATATGTTCTCACATAAGTAGGAGCTAGACAATGGGTACATGTGGGCATACAGAGGGGAATAATAGGCGCTGGGGACTCCAAAAGCAGGGAGGGTGGAAGAGAGTTGAAACATTACCTGTTGAGTACAGTGTTCACTATATGGGTGATGGGCACACTAAAAGCCCAGCTTTCACCACTATACAATATATTCATGTAACAAAACTGACTTGTACTCCATTAATCTATAAAGATAAAAATAAGATAAAATCTAGGTTCTTTATAGTAAAAGAACTAACAGATCAAGGTGTTATTAATAATTTCTATACATAGTAATATTGAAATAGATATTCCTTAGGATGTTTTATAAATAAAAATAACTAAGATGAAGTCTCTTTTACTGAAATAAAATTACTCCTGAAATACTTTTTACTGATATGTTTTGCAGTATAATCTTAGTAAATCAAAGTGTTCAGAACTCCAAACTTCCTCTCAGGCATAATAATGCTTTATAACATCTATATTTCAAGTGTGGGCTAAAAACCTTGCAATGCATATTCTCAGTGCTAGTTTTAGACTTTTACACACATAGGAACTAACAATTTTCTATTAGAACTAATAACTGTAAATGAAATCATTTCTAAACCTTACAGGAAAAATTAAAACACATTTTGTTAATGTTTGAAGGAAGCTTAGAAGTCTTAAATCCAGCTTCACTACCTTTAGAAATTAGTAATGATTGCTGAGAATGTAGTGCCCACCTGAAGTCCCAGAACACAATGTTGACAGAGGCAAATCTCTGGACCCTGACACAGTTCCTTTTGCACACTTCCATGTTTCTCTTTAGCTTGAAAAGGAGTCCTTTCTGTTACATATTTGTTTTAAATCGGTGAAAGCAATACATGCTTATGGAAGATCCCATTAGCTTCTCAGGGACAGGTTCCCTGTTGAACTTGTCCAGGGACTCATGTGAAGGCTAATGATGCAAGCTGAGTGTGAGGGTGCCAGGTCTCACAAAGATAGTTGCAACCTTGTCCAAATTATAAAAATGGGAACCTCAGAAGGTGGATCTGCTTCTCCAGAGTAAAATCAACCTGTTCCTTCTTTTCTGGCAATGAATACACTGCTTCAAATGTAAACTAGAAAGGTTTTCCAGTCTTTCTCTACAGGAACATTGACCTTTAAAGTTCCAGTTAATCAAAGATGTACCTCTAGGTTCAAAGTAGCAGTGCAAAGTGATAAAGGACTAGGACACCTTACAGGAACTAAGATGCATTAACAACAGGAGTTCTCAAGTTTTAAGATATATAAACACCACCTAAGGCTTGTTTAGATTGTGGATTCCTGGATATTACCCAGATTCAGCAGATCTGGGATGGGGTCTAAAGATCTGCATTTATGTAAAAAAAAAAAAAAGTACCAAGTGTTTCTGTAGCAGGTGATTAGAGGGTGGAGCTTTGAGAAATTTCTTTTTTAAAAATTTATTTCTTCTAAAAAAAAAAACTGGTTACATGTGCAGAATGTGCAGGTTTGTTACGTAGGTTTACACGTGCCACGGTGATTTGCTGCACCCATCAACACGTCCTCTAAGTTCCCTCTTCTCACCCCTAGTGTGTGATGCTCCCCTCTCTGTGTCCATGTGTTCACATTGTTCTACTCCCACTTATGAGTGAGAACACGCAGTATTTGGTTTTCTGTTCCTGTGTTAGATTGCTGAGGATGATGGCTTCCAACTTCATCCATGTCCCTGCAGAGAACATAGTCACATTCCTTTATATGGCTGCGTAGTATTCCATGCTGTCTATGTACTACATTTTCTTCATCCAGTCTATCATTGATGGGCATGTGGGTTGGTTCCATGTCTTTGCTATTGTAAACAGTGCTGCAATAAACATTCGTGTGCATGTGTCTTTATAGCAGAATGATTTATATTCCTTTGGGTCTATACCCAGTAATGGGATTGCTTAGTCAAATGGTATTTCTGGTTCTAGATCCTTGAGGAGTTGCCATACTGTCTTCCACAATGGTTGAACTAATTTACATTCCCGCTAGCAGTGTAAAAGTGTTCGTATTTCTCCACAGCCTTGCCAGCATCTATTGTTCCTGACTTTTTAATAATCATTCTAACTGGCATGAGATGGTATCTCATTGTGGTTTTGATTTGCATTTCGCTGATGATCAGTGATGTTGAACTTTTTTTTTCGTATTTGTTGGCTGTGTAAATGTCATCTTTTGAAAAGTGTCTGTTCGAATTCTTTGCCTAGTTTTTGATGGGGTTGTTTATTTCTTGTAAATTTACGTTTCTTGTAAATTCTGAATATTTAGACCTTTGTTAAATGGGTAGATGCAAACATTTTCTCCCATTCTCTAGGTTGTCTGTTCATTCTGATGATAGTTTCTTTTGCCGTGCAGAAACTCTTTAGTTTAATTAAATCTCATTTGTCAATATTGGCTTTTTTCGCCATTGCTTTTGGTGTTTTTGTCATGAAGTCTTTGCCGGTGCCCATATCCTGAATGGTATTGCCTAGATTTTCTTCTAGGGTTTTAATGGTTTTGGGTTTTACATTTAAGTCTTTATTCCACCTTGAGTTAATTTTTGTATACAGTGTCAGGAAGGGGTCCAGTTTCAGTTTTCTGCATATGGCTAGCCAGTTTTCCCAGCATCATTTATTGAATAGGAGATCCTTTCCTCATTGCTTGTTTTTGTCAGGTTTGTTGAAAATCAGATGGTTGTAGATGTGTGGTGTTATTTCTGAGGTCTCTGTTCTGCCCCATTGGTCTATATGTCTGTTTTGGTCTCACATCAACACTCTAACATCACAATTAAAAGAGCTAGAGAGGCAAGAACAAACTAATCGAAAAGCTAGCAGAGGACAAAAAATAATGAAAATCAGATAAAAACTGAAGGAGATAGTGACATGAAAAACCCTCCAAAAATCAATGAATCCAGGAGTTGGAAAAAATCAACAAAATAGATAAAACACTAGCTAGACTAATAAAGAAGAAAAGAGAGAAGAATCAACTAGACACAATAAAAATAATAAAGTGGATATCACCACTAACTCCACAGAAATACAAACTACCATCAGAGAATACTATAAATACCTCTATGCAAATAAACTAGAAAATCTAGAAGAAATGGATAAATTCCTGGACACATACACCCTCCCAAGGCTAAACCAGGAAAAAGTTGAATCCGTGAATAGACCAATAACAAGTTCTGAAATTAACAAAGTAATTAATAGCCTACTAATCAAAACAAAGCCCAGGGCCAGATGGATTTACAGCTGAATTCCATTAAAAATACAAAGTGGAGCTGGTAACATTCCATCTGAAACTATTTCAAACAATTGAAACAGGGACTCCCTAACTCATTTTACGAAGCCAGCATCATCCTTATACCAAAACCAGGAAGAGACACAATAAAAAAAGGAAACTTCAGGCCAATATCCCTGATGAACATTGATGCAAAAATCCTCAATAAAATACTGGCAAACTGAATCCAGCAGCACATCCAAAAACTTATACCCCACAATCAAGTTGGCTTCATCTTTGGGATGCAAGGCTGGTTCAACACATGTGAATCAGTAAACAGAGTCCATCACATAAACAGAACCAACAACAAAAACCACGTGATTATCTCAGTAGATGCAGAAAAGGTCTTCAATAAAATTCAACATCCCTTCATGTTAAAAACTTTCAATCAACTAGGTATTGATGGAACATACTTCAAAATATTAATAGCTATTTATGACAAACCCACAGCCAATATCATATTGAATGGTCAAAAGCTGGAAGCATTCTCTTT